AGGACAGTTCCACTTCACTAAGCCAAGTCTAACTACATTGTCAGAACTCTGTTGTCTTAACACACCTGGGCTTTTTTGATTGCTTTATTTTAAGCCGATTATTATTTAAATAAGTACGCTAAAATCTAAAGTCTGTTGAGAACATTAGGAAATTGACTTTCATGTACTGTGTAGAAATCAGGTTTCCCCCCTGGTTTGAAGACCTCTGAATCATGCACTCTCCTGTTGAGGCCACATTCACCTTTCGTTCTTTCAGTGAGTATCTGCGGAGATGCCCTGTGTGTCAGGCTGTGTCACAGTGAGGACCCGGGGTGCCCGCGGGTCCTTTATCCTCTGTTAGCAGAGTGCCTGTACGGGTCGCATCTACTTGTCTAGTGCAGATTTATTTTGACTGCACAGACTTTCCGACATTAGCAACAAAGTGAAAAGGATTCTTGGTGAAAAACACTTTGCCTGCCATGCTGTTTAGTACATGAAAAGACTGTAGGCCACACCCTGAAGTTGGTATAGTTCTTCCATTCTGCTTGTTCTGCAGTCTGTGATAGTTGTCAGCCTATCCCAGTGCTCGCTGCTTGTGGGCAGGGTGAGAATCTGCCTAAATTCATGGCCCTTTCTAGGCAGCCAATATAGTATCTGAATATACACAACACACCGGGGGACCTTCAGTATAGGGTTTACTTAAAGAATAAGGCTGTGTGTGGCACCGGTGTTTAGTTGCCAAGGAATGAAATACAAGGTTTCAAGCCAAAGTTCAGATGGTCTAAAAGGTGTGGGCCAAATGCACTTCTGCGTGAATAGGAGGTTCTGTGTGCTATCTGGCCATCAGGCAGAGCCTGGCTTTCATTTATTTGTTGCATAAATATTTACTGAGCTCCTAATCTCTTCGGTGAATAAGACAGAAGCTGTCCTCGCTCTCATCCTCCACGCCCCCATTTCCTGGACAAACAGTGTAGGACATTTTCACGCAGAGCAGCCTTTCACTGATCCATTGGGCACATGGTGAGCCTATAACACGTATGCCGCTGCGAGACATGACATCATCTCCGTTCTTCAGGACATCGCAGGCTTGCTTGCTCACCATTCATTCACTGACAGGTGTGCTGAGGCAGGCAGTGCCCTGCGTCAGTGCTGGGAAACAAGAGAGACCACAAGAGCAGCCAGTCCCTGAGGGGCGTGTCTGAAGGGTGTGTTATGCCAGGCCGGTGATAGTGCACTCTTCCCACTGTGTCAGGAAAGTGCAGGGCTGAGCACGGAAGTGGAGTGTCCTGAATGAGCTATGTGTACTTGAGAAGTCGGGGCCAGACTCTGCCTTTTGTGTGTGGGGGGGGGGGCGGCTGGAGATGGAACCCAGGGCCTTTGCATGCCTGCCAAGCACTCTGTCACTGAAATACCCCAGGCCAAGATAGGAGTTTTGATCTGCCTTTTTAGCTGTGGCTGAGGAGAAGGGATGTCTTACAGAAGAAAATGGAGAGAGTTCCAACTAGAGGGAGCAGTTTGAATGACTGTAAAGAGCTGTAAGGGGCACAGCAGCTTCACAAAGAGCAAGTGCTTTATTTTGAGTTGGCTACAGGAGGTGAACTCTAATCTAGTGAAGCAGTTGCAGCATGAATGCCAGAAACTAAATCCTTATAATACTTGCCCAGTAAATAGATTAATGCGACAGCCCAGAAACAGACAAACATACATGTGTTTATCACGAAGCAGAGAGATTGTAATTTATTTTATTCTGAAATTACTGATACGATATTTGGAAAATGAAAAGTTTCTAAAAGAATCCAGTAAACCACCTACTGTGTTGTAATGCGTGTGTTGATCCTACTAAGTAGGCCTCAGTACTCAAGGGCCCTGCGTTTGGTTACTTGGTTAGTTACTGTGGTTAGTCACTGTGGTTGGCTGTCTGAAAGTCTGAATTTTTCAAGATAGGCTCATATTTTCTTTTCACTCTTGGCCCTATAAACTAGGTAGCTGTCCTGTCTGTGAGATTGTTTATCTGTGGGGAAAGAAAGTCACAGGGCCACACTGTAGATGTCCTGATGTCCCCGGGAGAGTTGCAGCCAGTTTGGTTGAAGTGACCCAGCCACATTAGCAGGACGCTGTGTTGTGTGTGTGTACGTGGACATCTCAGGCTGTCCAGTCCAGTACCATTAGACAATCTGTTTATGTGACCGTCTCTCTTAACCTCCCATTTCCTGCTCACCAAGCAAACTTTTAATTGTGATTTGGCACCTCTGGTTTGGTCACAGGAGAAACCTGGCTGGCTGTGCTGACTCCATGCTTCATCCCGGAAGTTAGTTACTTAATTAAATTTCTGCTTATAGGCAGCAGCGAGGGTCTCAGAGCCTGCCCTAGGAGATAGGCTGCTGCTTTTGGATTTCTGAGACAAAAGGTTGAAGTCTAAGCATTGTGCTGGTAAAGTCACCAAAGAGTCAAGTGTTGAGTAGTAGTTGAGGGCAAAGGTTTTCGAGTCAAGGCACTCAGAGTCCTGTTATCAAATATGGGGCCTGTGCCTTACTAGGATGTGTGACTTTGGCCTGTCTGTGTCTAGCTTCATCTGTCAGATGATGACGTTAGCATGTTCTCCTGTAGTGAGCTGAGTAAGATAATGTAACTAGATCAGGATTTCTCAGCCATAGCATTTTGACACTTTGGGCCAGATAATGCTTTGTTTGAGGATGTTGGAGACATTGTAAAACCATCCCTGATCTAAACCCACTAGATGCCAGTAACTTCCCCCAAATCTCCACAAATGCGACAATCAGAATATCTCTAGACATTTCTAGATAACCTCTGTGCAGGGCAGACTCAGACCTGGTTAAGAACCCATGGGCCAGGTGTGTAGAGCAGCGCCTAGAGAAGAAGACACAGGAGCACGAGGTGCTAGGGGAATGGCGGTGGTGGTACCACAGTCATGACAGTGACCCTCGCGATGGCAGCCCCAGGCCTCTGGGAAGACGTTTGTTAGCCTTTCGTGGGTCCTTTCTTCTTTCAATTTCAGGATCTGTGTCAGAATAGATTCTGACTAGACCCAATAGTAAATGTAAAGACCTATCTTTAAAAGACTGAAATTAGCTTTGCAAGTAAAGAAACCATGTCCAAACTCAAAAGCAGCACTCCTGTGGCGTTTAACATTAGGTTTAAATCACACCGGAGCATTTTCTTCCTTGATAGATGTCACTACATTAAGAACAAACATAACATAATCTGTTAAAACTTTATAGTGATCATTAAAAACCAAAAAGGATTAAACGATTATAGTAATGTAACAGAATGGTACTAAGAAACTGGCTTAAGTACATAAAATAGCAACCAGATATTACCCATAGAGATGAAGATAAAAGAGGAAATATGGTCAGCCTATAAACATTTGAAATTTTCAAACTTAATTTTTAAGAATGTAGGTCTTTTAAATTGGCAGTAAAATTGGAAATAATGTGCAGTTTTCGCATATGATGAAAGGAGCCTTTTTCCTCTTTATTCATAGGATAATGCATGGATCCAACCCCTCTGAAAAGAAACAGGGTCATTAATATGTTTTGAAATTTGTCGTGCCTTTTACCCTCCCAAAATAACGTGTGGGGATTATGCCTAGAGCATAATCTGAAATGTAAACAAATATTTATGTAGGAGGATATTCACTGCAAAATTTTAGTCAAAGCCAGCCTAAGTGATTAGGCATTAGGGAAGCAGTTAATTGCGGCATGTGATAAATAATCAACAAACCTTAAAAACATTATTTACTGTTTCTGATGACATACAAAATTCTTACAGTGCGAAGTGGAGAAAAACAGTTTTAAAAATTGAGTATTCGGGTCGCTGCCGGTCTGGGAGAGCCAGCCCCAAGCTCCTGTGTGAGTCAGTGCCTTTGGTGGACTGCGGAGGGAGAGAACCAGGCCCTGCAGGGAGGAGATCCTGCCGGACACCAGCTCCCTGCTCGGGCTGAGGCAGGCCTGGGAGGGCCACACCCAAGCCTCTTCCCCTGAGTGCGCGCCTTTCGCTGACAGCAGAGGGAGAGAACCAGGCCCCACAGGGAGGAGATCCCCTCCTGGAACCATATTATTTTCATTGTTTTGGGTTGAGTTTCTTTTTTTTTTTTTTTTTCTGTTTTGTTTATTTTAACTGTGATGGCATGAACAGCTATTTAAAAGCTAGCAAGACATGTCATGGAAGTCATTGTATATTTACTACTGGCTTGTTTTGATGTCCTTTATTGCATTCATTGTTTTGTTTTTATTGTTTCTATTCTATTTTGTTCTGTTCGATTTTTACTATGTCCGAAGGTGGTATCTGCAGCTATTTTGAAGACAACAAAGGCATTGTGGTAACTATTGTTGATTTCATAAGGTTTTGAAGTCCTATAACATTTATTCTGCTTTATTTTCACTGATTTTATTGTTTATTTTTCTGGCTTTTATCCTCTTTAAAATAAAATAATATTCAATGTAAACAACTCAGAATAAAGACTGGAAGGAAATTTGTGGATTTCAGTAGTATTTTCTTTAAAAAGTGGGTTGTGAATAATGTGTGAAAGTTGCTCATAGCTGTATGATTAAATTGATCATTTAAATCAGCTGTGGTGGAACATGCCCATAATCCCAGCACTCAGAAGGCTGAGACAGGAGGATCACCCTGAGTTCAGGGCCAGCCTGGGCTACATAGAGAGACCCTGCTCCACCCCCATGATCATTTCATGGCTGACTGAGACTTTATTGCATTTTTTAAAAGATATTTTTAACTCTTAAGCATTTTTTTGAGTTGGAAAGCGGGTTTAAGCTTTGAGTACAAGAAAGCAAAAAACAGTGGTCAATGTCTTAAAAATATAGCTTTGTATTCTAAGAAAATCCTTATAAATTATGAAAAGAAATCAATTTTGCGATTAAACTGCTTGCCCTAAAATTGATGATTTTTTAAATGCCATGACACCTTTTGTTCATTAATTGTAAAAGATACATTTAATGTTTTTTGATGAACAAATCTTAAAATGTGTGTTTTTACATTTACAGTATGTGCGGAAGCATATAACCCTGATGAAGAAGAAGATGATGCAGAGTCCAGGGTATGTAACTTGCTAGTAAATGGCATTAGTGACAGTCATGTGCTTTGTAAGGAAAATAATAATAAACAAAGATGTTAACAAGCATCCACTTTAATACGAAACGATGGAATTATTTTGATTATTTCTTTTCCTAGTCCTGTCTTTAGTAGCCTACTTCTGCTTGAAGTTCTGTAGAATTATTTTCACACAAAAAATACGTGTCTTTGGATAAAAGGAAAGAAGAACAGTATATTGCTCATTGCACTTGTAGTGTTTTTTCTTGTTTTGTTTGTTTGCAAAATATATCCTGGTGATGAAAAATGGTTTTTAGTGATGTTTTTCATAGAAATAATGTAATTTTTCTTAGAAAGTGTTTCTAGTGAAGAAAAATACTGAAAGAGACGTCTGCTCCTATAACAGAAGCTTACTCTGAAACAAGCAAGTAGCAGTAAAATTATATCTACAGTATCAGTGCAGCAGTTGCTGTTTTTAAGTCTGTGGGTCTTGATAATTTGCTCAGCAGCTACTTCCTTGGAGGCTGTAATGTTTTTGTAAGAACTTGACTGGTGTGGTTTGACGCAGTGTGTAAGCTGTGTCCTTTAGCTTGGTTCTCCTCTTATTTACTCACTAAAAAGTAAACCAAATAAGAGATTACTGTGCCTGGAGATAGAAAGTACTAATTTACTTTTTTTTTTTTTTTTTGACTGCATACTTTGCAAAAGTCTCCATGTCTCTTTGGCCTTAAAAGTATAAACAAAAGCCTGTTTCTCAAGCCCTGAAATTTACTTCAGTAAGATGGAGTTTTACTACAGAAAAGCGGACAGTAGGTCCCTAAGTCATCTCATCGAGAAGTTCTGTGAAATGTGTAGAAAATCCAGTGAGGGAAAGAAGACCCTGAAGTCCCAGCACCCGCTGTGGCTCCTGCTCCCAGAACTGACTTTGATGCAGTCCACGAATCCCTGGTTGGAAAATACGTTGCTTTAGGACCAAAACATTTCTGCCGATCTGATGTGCTGTTACCACTTGATGGAGTATGAACACGTGCCACTGCCTGTCTTATTTAGGTAGCTAGCAGCGGCAGGAAAGGTGACATGGAAGATGCATCCTTCTTATCTGTGGACAAATGTGTATGGTACAGTTTAGCAGCTAAGTTTTCAGTGAGTGGTGTGAATTAGTAAAAGTCTAAATAGAGAGCATTTAACAGTACAGCCTAGAAACAAGGTGTAGTATCTCCTTGAGTCAAAGGTTGTGAGACCTTAAGAGGAATTTTAGCCACCACTGAATCCAAGAGATGGGTAAAGTCTTGTGGTTCGTTTGGAGAGATTATTTTCCCCACTACTAGGGGAAAGAAAACTTTTTACTTGCCTGTGTAAAAGAACCTAATCACATTGAGATACACAAAAAGGAAAACAAGGGGAGAACTTAGTGGACAGATGTTTAGAGATCTTATTACTCCTAGTTAGTGTTCTAGAATTCCAAAGCCATCACTAAGAGCCATCACTAAGAGGCCGGAGCCAGCCTGGGGCTCTTTAGCAGCGTCCCTAGAGGACCAGAATTTTGCCTCTGAAAGGCACCAGCTTCCGGTCACCCCTTTTGCTGCGCCCTTGAGTGCTCACTGCCCGATGCACAGGTGTTTCCCATAGCGCGCTGGTGGGGTTCAGGTCCCCGAGTCCAGATGAGGTGTCGCAGGAGCCACTTGTGTCAGGAGGGCAGCAGTTACAGGAGGAGGAGGAGGGGGTTCTGTAGGGTAGGCATCACCCAAGACTACTTCTCTGTCATGCATTTTAAGGGTTTGGGAGGTCACCACTGCATGAATTATGTCAGTGTTTATAATAATAAAGTGCTTAAGTATTTCAGAGGAGTATGCTCTCCCCTACACAGGTTACTGAAAAGTATGCTCCTTACTCCCTTAGAAACCGTAAGGCAAACTGCTGTAGACCATGGCAATGGCTTCTGCATGTTTTAAAATTAAGCAGCCCTTGACAGATACTAGAAACCGTTGATGAGGAAAATTATGCTGTATTTTATAAGATATTTTATATTACTTCTACGGCTCTATATGTCACCCATGCCTTAAATTTTTTGTATTAAAAGGTATCTGTCCTCATATAAATTCAGAGGAAATCTAAATACTTAAGATTTGTTTTGGAAAATAACAAATTAGCTTATAGTCGAAATGCCTTAAACAAATGAAAATTTTAGGATTGTCAATGGAATCTAGCATGTGGGAGCTGGGTGAGAAGAGCCGATAGATTGAGAAGCAGATGATTTCTGTGTCCTGGTACCCCACAAAGCCTCTTCGAATGCCCTCTGCATGCACGCCAGGCGCGCAGTACTGTACACAGTAGTGAGAGAACAAACCCAGCACCTCTGCCAGCCAGAGGATAATGGCTGGTGTGCATAAACATATCCTGCATCGACAAGTCGACAAGTCGTTGATGTGAAGAGCTAGCCCTGTAACTGTGTGTGAATTCAGACGCCCAAGTCAGCTGGGTCTCCTCCCAAGAGACTGGGCCTCCCTCAGGTGAGGTGGGGCGCGAGTCTTACCTGAAGCCTGTGCTGCCTCTGGGCCCAGAAAGAGGAAGAAAAGGAAGAGGCGGAGGAATATTAAGGTGTGAGTCAGGCAGAGGCGCTGGCCTGGCAGCTCAGGAAAAGCCAAGAGGAAAGAATGCGGGGATTTTACCTCCCGGTGCGGGGTGGACCCCGGTGAGGTTTGCAGCTGGAGAATGGGGTGTCTAACTGAATGTCCTGTGAAAGATGACTTTCATCTCTCTCCAGAGAATGGACTGGACGAGTAGGAAAAACTCAGTACAGATTTTTGTCTTTAAAGAACATGCCTGAGTAAACCTTTTTTATTAATTAGCTTTCTAGTTCTTCTTATTGAAAGGCAGCAGAGGGTTAGAGTAAGAGTAGAAGTTGGCGGGCTTTTCCTGTAGGTTTTGTTTTTCCCTCCTGAAAAGTCTCTATTTTCAGAGTGAATGTTTTAGGCCCGGGGGTTATAAAGACTCTTGCAGTTGCTTAGTTCCACTGCAGTAGTCTGAAAGCAGCAACAGAGAGTGCAGGAATGAAAGAGCACGTCTGCATACTCTAGAACTTTATGTATGGACGCTGGAATTTGTATTTCATATAATTTCCATGCATCAGGAGATACTGGGTTTTTTGCTTCTTTTATGTCACTGAGAAGCTAAAACCGTTCTTAGCCCAGGGCCACATCAACCACTTTGCCTGAGGTGTGGTTTGCAATCCGTGGTTATAGCTCAGCAGCCCAGGGCTGGCTGGGCACTGGGGAAGTCACTTGGGGAGCCCCATTTTCTTACTTCCCAGTACCTACGTACATGCTGGGGTTGTGCTAGGATGAAATGAATTCCTGTTCATAGGGCCTAGTCAATGCTACGTGAGTGTTTAACAAATAAGATTTAACTTTGAAATCAGAAATAAATTTTAATACAAACTAAATTGGCCCCTGGTGTAACATAAATCACACTTTGAATATGGTTGAAGTGGTGGGAATGCAGAGAATATCCCTTACGTGAGACACACAAAACCCACTGGGGAGAGACTGGGCTTTAGAGGTGCAAGGACAGCTTCTGGGTGGGCCTGGGTCAGAATGCAGGATTGGGTCTCCCTGGGAGGGAGAGAAGGAAGGGGCGACAGTGAGGGGCAGGAGAGAGAGGGGAACAGGACCCCAGGCAGCAGTGGCCAGTAGCAGTGGAGGTGGGACTGAGCCGCAGAGAGCTTGGAAGCTCTGCCTGATGAGAACAGAAGCAGCAGAAAAGAGAGGAAAGGACGAGGCAGAGCTTCTGAGTGAGGGCTTTGTAGGGAGCTGCGGGCGGAGACAGGCAGGAAGACTGCTGACCGCTGACCGCTGACCGGAGGGCAGTCTGGGTCCTGGTGTTTCCCTGCCTTCTGTCCCAGGACAGCGCTCAGCAGCAGGCAGACACTGGCGCCTGCTTCAGTTTGAGGCTCTGGACAGAGTACTTGCCTAGCGTTTTGTAAAATGAGAAGCACCAGGTTGTTTGTTTGATTACGTTACCTTTTCTTTTTCAAAGTAGGAAGAATTTATTTTTCAAAGTAGGATTTTGGTTAGTATGATTTAAAGTCTGAATTTTAAAGATTTCTCACTCAGCAGTGGGACAGGGTACCAAGGTCTAGTTTTTACATTCACCTGTCACCTCAGCTGCTAGTTTGGACTGAGTGTCAGTTAGGAAACAAAGGTTTCCCTGTGCCTTACCCTTGTGGACACAGTACAGTGCCTTCCGTCACTAATCCTTTATGTAAGCAAAATAACACACAGAAATAGTTTGTATATACTTGTAAGTTTCGTCAACTCTTTTCTAGCTCATGAGTTCAGTAATTTTTAGCCATCTGAGGTGCTAGTTTAAATTTCCCCTCGTGTGTTTTTCGTTTGTGGTACTGGAAATTGAACCCAGGACTTGGCACATGCTAGGCAAGTACTCTTGCCTACTCCCTGAGTTATATCCCCCACCACTGTGTGAGTGGTGATATATTGTGGGTGCAGTCTCAGCCCTGGCTGATTCTAGCTCTCAGGGTCACTCTCCAGGTGAACACTGGAATAAGAGAAGGTGGAGTATAGGAGTCCAGGAAACCAGCTGCAGGCCTGTCTTTAGGGCTGTATCTTCTCTCTCCAACACAAACTACTGATGTTCGCAACAAATTGGGTCTTTGAGGGGCTGGGAATACAGCTCAGGGATAGAGTGATTACTTAGCACAGGCGAGGTGCTGGGTTCCAGCCCCAGCACTATGCACTCACCACGTCTACTGCTTTCCATCCTACTTAGTGGTCTGATGGTGACTAGTCCAGAGTGAACCTCTGCGCTAACCAAGCTTGAGCACCAGTCCTTCCCACTTTCCTGCTGACTTTTGTTGGATTTTGATGAGTGCTAACAGCTTTCTTTGTGTTTGTATTGTTTTTTAATTTGGTGTTCTTTTAGATTATACATCCAAAAACTGACGATCAAAGGAATAGATTGCAAGAAGCTTGCAAGGACATCCTGCTGTTTAAGAACCTGGATCCGGTAAGAGAAACCTTAGTAACACAAATGGGTTTTTTTTCACTGCCAGGGTCCAGAACTGTACAAAGGTCTGACTTCTGTCGTCTTTTCAAGTTGACATCACCCTGGGACGGCAGCTGAGGCAGATCTGTGCACTGTCCTAGCAGGGAGGAGAGCTGGGTTGCTGGTTACCCACAGCTGGAGCCTGGAGCAGGCCGGGCTCTTTGGGGAAGTGGCGATCTCATCTCTCACTGGCTGCACTGTGCTGGGAGGTGGGCAGAGGAGAGGACAGTCCTGCCCTCTTCCCGCTTCCCGCAAGCACTTGCAGGATGCTTAGGTCTCTCCCCCAACAGCCAGCACTGCTAATTGCACTTGACTTCTTAATAAAAATCCTGTGTCATATTTTAAAGGTAACATTTTACTTGGCTTCGTCAAGGTAGGAAAATATTTTGTTTTTTGTAAGGATTTCTAAGGATCTAGTCTTGGGGTCTTCCAAGATACCCATTTTCAGTTTAAATAAGAGGGTTGTTCAGATTTAGCCTTATACTCTTGGCCTCAGGATTCACTTCTTTTATCACAGATTTGCAAAGTTTTGCAATATAGTCATTTCGGAAAGAACTGTAAATGAAGCCCCACTTTTTCTTTTTCTTCTTCTTTTTCTTTTCTTTCTTTTTTTTTTTTTTGAGACCCAGTCTTTATAAAAAGGGCATATTTTGAAAGATTACCCATTGTTCTATAGTAGGTCACGTTTGTGTTTATATCATGTGCTCCGTGAACAGGGACTGTGTGTCGTGACTCAAACGACCTGGGTGTTAGGCCTGCACATTCTAAGCCAGTCTGTCCGTCTCTGAGTCCTGGTCTCTCTCTCTCTCTGAGAGAGATGCATCAGTCACTTCCTGTGCCCATTTCTGGGGGCCAGGACATAGGTGCATTCCATGCTTGTCTTACTCTTTAGGTAACACATACCAGTTAAGTCTTCCTGTGTGTACTAAGATCTCAGAAAAAAGACGTACGATTAAAACCAGAATGCTTTGAGTAACCCTTTCATACTGAAGTGTGCATATTTAATAATAAGTGACTTCCAGATAGATTTGTTACTTGTAATTAATGATGTCTTTTAAATGCTGTCTGACTCAGGTCTTGTTAAAAGTAATAGTGAACTCTTGAACGGCTTACATTCTCCTCTCCATTGCAGCTTTTCACGGTCTTTGTCCGTCCAAATTTATCTACCCAGTCCATTCACCCACATTTGCTGAGGCCTGTCACTGAGGGTCAGTGCTGAGGAGTGAGACCTGGTCCAGTGCCTTCATTGATGCTGAAGTCAGCCTGAGGGTCAGATGTTCTCTAAGGCCAGCGCCAGTCGAGTGTTTCACTCTTTTGCAAGAGATGCACAGCTGTAAACTGAGTCCTTCAATTTATGCTCAGGGATGGACGCCCATTAAAGAGTCTCTCTTTGAGACTACGACATTGCATGGGGCAGTTTCAGAGGACACCAAAAACAGTACCTCTTGAGTTTAATGTGCCTGTATCTGATCAGAAGAGCTGGTGACAATGCAGATTCTAACTCAGTCAGCCTGCAGCGGGGGCCGAGAATCTGCATTCTCACAAGATTCCGGGTACTGTCGGTGCGTTGCCCTCAGCACACTCTGAATACGCAGCATTAGCTACCACGTGATATTTTGTTTGTGTGCTTTCCTGTTCAATGAACCAGTATTTTAGTGCTCGAGCAGTGACTAAGCAATGATATTCTGGTTTCTATGTGCTAAGGATAAAAAAGCATGAGTGAAAGCGTTGCTGGTTGTATTTTCCTGGGATATTGCCGATTCTGTCCTCTAAGTTAAATGGTTTTTCCTTGCCATTTTAACCTTAACTCTTTAAAGACATTGCAAAATTATGTTTGCATTTAAAACTTTAAAAAACACTTTTGCTAGTATAGTCTCAAAAATTGTCTTAATTGATGTTTTTACAAATGTAAGATTCTTTTAGTCTTTCTTCACTGCTCTCCTAAAGATTTTTAATATATATTTTAAAAACTAGTTTATTAGTGGGGCCAAAAACCCAAACCACAAATTATTATTATTGAATGTTTGAAAGGAAGAAGCAAATGTATTTATGTAGTAATAGTTTCCAAAAGATTGGTTTTCTTTTTATTTGAACTCAAACCAGCTTGGTTTATTTCTCTACTTTCTCAAATCCTTTTAGAGATGATGCAGGGTATAAAAAAATAAATGTTTATTTAACACTTTCCAAATTACTATCTGGAGTAAGAAATTTAGCTCCAAACATGGCAGAATGAAGGTTTTAAGATAAGCCCATATTTTCAGCAGGCCCCTAGATTTTTATGATCTGACATTATTTACAATAACCCACATGCATCTTAGTTGAATTACACATTCATTGAATTACACATAACCTGCCTCTCACGTAGCTCCTCTACAGTTTTCTTGACTGCTGCCTGTGTTCTGAGGCTTGGATACGGTATTGATGGTCACAAAGATGTTGAGACATTGTTCTTGTCCTCCTGACCTATAATTTGATGAGGATTACAAACACATATATTCGAGCTTGGTATAGTGCATGCTGATAATCCAGTACCCAGAACACTGAGGCAGGAGGATCACCGTGAGGTTGAGGCTAGCATAGGCTATATACTGAGACCCTGTCTCAAAAACAAAACAAAACACATGTATTCATACAAAGTATGCTGGGGATAGATGTTGTTGTGTGGTCAGGATGCTGTGAGGGGATGTGGTCTCTTAGGCTATCCTGAGGATTCATAGACTTGCGCCTCAGAAAAGAAAAAAGAAATCACGAGTTGACCTAAGATGTAGAGTGTTACCATTAGAGCCTGCAGCACACACTGTCTAGTAATGGCACCTACGGTGTGGGTGCCTTTTCTGGAGGACCTTGCTCAAATGTCAAGCTGTGGTGTTAGACACACCCTGGGAGCAGCCCAAGAGTTTTAAATGTTGACTGTAACAGTGCCCTTTGGTGGTGGTGTAAAGGGTGGAGTCACAGGGGACAGTAGGATTGAGAATGTGGGTAAAAATGAAGCATGGAGCCAGGCCATGATCCAGAGAGAAGTGGGCCCCGTTAGAAAAGAAGAAAGCAGGACACAGAGGAATATGCAGGAGGGCAGAGCTTGGTACTTGTTGATCCACTTAGTTGGGGCCTGCAGGAAAGCACCCAGGGTGACTGCTGGTGTCCGGGAAGAATGCCCCTGAAGGTTGTGCCCTTACGGGTAAAGGGGACCTTGGAGGAGAGGAAATAACACAGTAATTAGTGAGAAGAACGAGTTTGGCTTTGTATCTCCCATCTCATTTGAACTTCCTAAAATCATTGTTTGGCCTGAAAACTGTGTACTTTGTAGACCTGAGAACATCTTTTTTCTCCTAAGAGTATTGTATATTCATAGGTTGAACCATAGAGTTTATAATTATTAAACTCTTTGAAGATATTCTTTTCATGAATATTTTAATGCTTGACTCAGGAGGCCGTTTTCCTTCTGAAATACTTCTAATTTGAGGGTAACCAAAATCATTTTCCTGTGCTATATGATAGGCGCTTTCATTAATGCAGAGTAAATTGTTATCCCTGCAGTGAGTCAGAGCTCTTCACTAAGCTCAGTCTTGAATTTGCATTCTGTGGAGGAACTGATGTGGATTTCCTTCAGTGGTTGTCAGTCATCCTGATAAGCCTGTGCATATTAAATATTTCCTAAGTTTTTTCATTCTGTGCATAATTATGGGAAGATTACATTTTGATTGACTAGAGGGACACCTGTCACATAGAGAAGTTTTAAAAGATCATTTTTCTGTACTTTATGTAGAATTTTACTTTTTTCAACTATCCATGTGTGAATTTTTCAGCTTTATAATTCAGAAACTGTACTATTTAATTAAAATGCAGATAATTCTACTATAACAAAAATTCATGGCAGCAATTTAGTTTATCCTTCCTTTCCCTCCATTTGACATTTAGAGTTAGAACTAACCAATAGGCTGATGATCCTCCTACCTGCCCCAAAGCCTCAAAATATAAATAGCAAGTGAAACGAAGTATTAGTAAGCCATTTAATCAACCTTCAGAATTTTGATAGGTGACCATATGTTGCCTGAGTGGATGAAGTCATTTGGGTAAAAGGGCCCCCAGGGGGCCAATTAGCACCACATCAGGAGTCCATCTCACTGCCACACTGGCTGCTGGCCCTCAGGTAGATGCCAGAGCTCACACAGAGACCCAAGGAAGGGATGAAACCTGCTTGCTGGAGACCTCTCTCCGTCACTTTCATAGGTTTTTCTCAGCCTAGGCAAAGGAGCAAAATAGCATTTTCTGTCTGGTTTGGATACTAATCAACAGACACAAAATTTAAATTCAGAATGAACAAAAGATAGTGAAAGGAAATCTCCCCTCCACCTGGCTCCCAGCAGCATCTTCTCCCGTCTGGTCATGGTCAGCACTGTAATGGGTATTTTTTCCAGGGTTATGCAATTTATTTATTTATTTTTTGGTGGCAGCAAAAATCTTTAGTGTTTTGTCCTGTTATTTTAACTTAACAACGTATCAGATTCTATAGAACTATGTGGACATAGGTTACCTGCTGGCATATTTATCTGCCAGTAGAGAATCCCTGTTCTTTTTAAGGATTATTTTTATCAGTGTTACTTACAAAAGTTTAATGTGGCAGATTTTATGTATGATAGAGCTAAGCTATACATCTTGTTGTCATTCAGTGTTAAAATTGGATCTTTAACAGAGGGGCGCCATATAACCAAACAATGCCAAACAAGAACAAAATTTGCAGGCCTCACATTTCAAAATTTCATTTTATTTTATTAATTGATTGATTGATTGATCAATTGATTGATACAGGGGCTCAAACTCATGACCTTGTGCTTGCCAGGCAGGAGCTTATGCCACTGAGCTAAATCCCTGGCCCCATTTCACAATTTTAAAACTCTACAAAGCTTCAGTAATAAAAAAAAGTGTGGTAGTGGCATCAAGATACCATGTAGAACACCAGC